CCTGGAATTTCACTGATTACAAGTTGCACATTTCTGGTGTTCTACAGGAAATACGCTGAAACACGCCACTTCCTAACTGCGGCAGGAATTACCCGCTACTTTGCAACTACGGCAAGAATTGCTGCCACTGTGGCTTGTTGCAGCTTTTTATAGGCAACTTAGGCGTTCCAGGTATTCACTAAGCAGTCGCGCTGGCACCGAGGCTGCCCCTTGCGCGCTGCTTTGGTCACTGTACATCTGGGAACAAATCGTCTATGTCCTCACTAAGCTGCTCCTGAATTTCGTCTTCGTTGTAGTCCTTGTACCCCCCTCCTGTAGAGGAGGATGCGGGTTGTTGGCTTCAAAAACATTGTGGTGTTGTGTATCAAGGCTGGGAGGTTTAACCACGGCTGATTCTGTAACCAGAGGAAACTTGAAACCACCGTCTGGCAGTTCTAGTCTCTTTGTCCTGAACACAAACAAGTCTTTTTTCTCCAAAGCATTGAAAATTTTGTGGAGAGGGGCAACCAGGTACTCGTCTTTGAAAATAAACCCCGACTGAATGTGGTACCCAAGGAAGATAGCTTCAATGCCAGTGCTCGCAAACTTCGAACGCTCTGGCTTCTTTTGCTTCTTATAGGTGCCCAGTACAGAACCGTCGCTCCAGGTGGAATGCGCTTGCCATTGAACCTCTCACCTTACCTTAACCCCCATGGGATCTGTCCAACCTCAGCATTGATGTTGAGGCACATAGCGTGAATGCCATGGGCCAGTAGCGATCGGGAAGACCTGATTGCACTAAGTTGGCCCGTGTTCCGACAAGGATTGAACTAATCTCGCGCTCGATTACTGCTTTGTTCTCGTTCACATACTCCCTAGAAGTATTGTGACGGGCTCGCAGTTGCCTGGCGGCATAGTCAAACTCCAAAGCATTATCAGAGTAGATGCCCTTGACTTCATCATCGACACCAAGAAATGCAACATGTCTTCGTAGCATTGCTCACCAGACTTTGTCATGGAAGGATAACTGTATCTGAGCTTAGAGTACACGTCCTTTACCATGTGAGCGACGGTCTCTTCCTGAAACCTGTAATCCTTGGCATCAGCAGCGACAATGTGGTCTACTAGTGATGTCAGCGAACGCTTTGCTGTAGATGGTTGATGATCCGCCTGACTTCCTGGCCTGTGGAGCATACATTTTGGCTCGTTGGCAAATCGGGCAGCAAGGGTTCTTCGGTCTATGGGTAAGTTGATGTTCCAGCGAAGCCGCCTCCACCCTCAATGAATCTTCATCCTTCCTCGTTTTCGGAACCGAATATGGCTCGACATCGCTGTCGGCTTCCGCCTCAACCTCCCCTTCAGGCAAAGCAGACAATGTGATAGCTGCAAATGTCCCTTCAGGTACTTCCCATAGATTTCGTCGAGTTCGTCGCTGTTGACTGAATCCTCAATCACAGACCACACCTCATCCTTGAATCCCCAAGTAGTCCGGATTCTGCACCTCGGGAATTTGGAAGCAGGTGTGCGAAAAGTTTTCGGAAAGTGTGCCACCCTGGCAGCAGGGCTGCCGCCGATGACGGTCCAACCAGCCTCCAGCAGTTGGCGTGGCTCCACCCTTGGAATGGGCGACGTGCCCTTGCGGGCAGATATCTACCGAAACTCGCCTCGGGTTAACCGACGTCGGCGCAACCCTGCTGCAATCCGTTACTGAGGATGTTGTGGCAGGGCAGGCAATGAGCGGTCTGGGTCGCCAAAGATGGGGACGTTGCCTCCAAGCTGGAAGTGCGCCTTTTGGCCGTCTGGGCAAATGACATATGTCGCCTCAAGAACCCCTGTTCCACGTAATGACTCGATGTAGACTTCGTGCTTCGTTCCGTCGTCTACTAGTCCGTTGGCTGTAATCAAACTTACAGGATTGCTTGGGATCTTCTTGGCCTTGTCCTTGAGATGAACCTCTAGATCAGAGTGGCTGATGAGATCTTCCTCGCTACCAGTGTGTGCGATGATTTCCAGAATAAATTGGCTGGTCGTCGCTGCTGCAGCAATTGATGGGGGAGGAACTGCCTCTTTGCAATGCAATGAGTGCAAAAGCCCCCCTCTCTCTCGACACTTGTATCCACACTTCACCCGAACTCCGAGCTTCATACCAGTGACGCTGACTCCAAGCGGAGTGCATTTTCTAAGGCATGCTTGCTGTTTTCGGGGTCGGACTGTGGACTGTGGACAATCTTCCGCGGTTGTGTACCTCATGTCGTAAATCTTCTTTCCACAAGGAATTTCCAACCACCACCTTCGGGTGAGATTTCAACGATGTCAGGTCTCAGAACTGAACCTTCATGAAATTGGGTTTCAAGTAGAACGTGGTGGTTCCCATCCACCGCCCCAGGCGTCCTGATCTCGAGTCTTTGAAGTTGTAGGCTTTCTCTACAAAGGCTTTGGAACTTTATTCGAACCATACATCCTCGCGTCGGCATTGCCTAAAGTCTCCAAATGTTTCCAATGGGAGCCGGACCATGATCAGGTTGTGGCACATAAAGGTGATTTCTGAAGTTCTGAACTTTTGGCGAATCCTAGTACAGGTGCCTTTGTGCTCATCGACAACCCAATGATCACGCTTGGTGGCATCGCCCTTGCGGGCGGCTAACACATAGCGACGTGTAGTATCGATCAACGACACACCCGTGAGGGCAGCTGAGGACGAGATACAGCATGCAGCCGTTTATCTCGACGAGGGAGATCTCGGCAGCCCTTGCCACCTTCGCCCTTGGCCGGGACTGAAGCGACTGGCGTCCTTGTGCATAAAAAATGGACAGTTCTTGCCGTTCTTGCCAGTCCTCTTCGGGAACAAAGACATGGGATCTTTGATGTGTCCTTCTTGCCTCCGCCTTTACCACCTTTCCCGAACCTTTGCCACTCTTACAGGGGGTTCTCGGGGGTGTTCTCCCTCGGGTCTGCTCAGCCTTCACATGTTTGTAAGGGCACTTATCGCCCCTGGGACAAATACCACGTTGGAATGCATAGCACGGCTTGTCCTGGCTTCTTCTCGAGGTGTGTTCGGAGTGTCGGGAGGGTGCTGGAGCCCCAAACTTGGCCCCATGAGCTTTGGCTTGGCTATCTAGAGCTCTTTGACACACTTCACGACATACTCGTAGGTATGCTGTTCGGTACCCTCTTTGGCTCGATCATACGCTTCAAGGTGGAATTTGATGTTGCTGGAGTTCCTGAGTTGCCTAAGCAGGATGTCCCTAAGTGTGGTTTCCTCAAGTTGGTGGTTGAGTCCTGCAATCACCGATTTCCAGTTGTGGATAAAGGTGCTCAGATCATCCCCGCTAAGCTGAACCCTCAAAAAAAACCCAACTGAGTAAAGCGAGCCCGCTTCTGCGTTGGTCTGAAAGTAGTGCTCAAACATAAGCTCGCTGAAGCCTCGAATTCCTTGTAATTTGTGATCTGACGCCCCAACTCCCCTTTCGCCACGTGCGAAAGCGCCGAGAGGATCTTGGTGTCGAGGGTCAGGAATTTCCCCGTATCACGGAGAAGCTCCACGTCAGCATTCCTGGTGTAAACCTCCTGAACCCACTTGAACGCCTCGTCGGGCTTGTCGGAAGCTGTTCGTACCGCTTCTCTCACTGTGATTTTCCAGCTACGGTACGTTTCGGGATTCGGGAAATCGGGCAACTTTACCGTTTCGGCTTCTTTTGCTTTCGGCTTGTCGTCGTCGGCGGGTTTCTTGATTACTGACTTCAGAGCCTCTGCAAGAATCTCAGTAGCCTCCTTAGGCTTCGCCTGTTCGGCTTGCTCACTCTGTTCAGCAGTTGACACCTCAACCCCGGGGGCCCTTGTTCTCACCTGGGTCACCAATGTTGAACCTTTGTGGCCTTCCCAAAATGCCCTGAAGTGACTCCGGAATTTCGGGGACCCATGGGTTACCCTGACTATGAACACCCGGCACTGGGGGCACCACCTTGCGGTGGGCTATTCTGCTGTCGTCAAGACAGTCCTCAGTGAGTTGACCTCAGCTATAAGCCCAGCGTTGCGATCCTCAAGATCAACCATCAAGTTCCCAAGTAGTTAATCAGTTGTGACCAATTCTCGTCGAAAGAAGTGGGTAGCTCTGCTTGCGACTGTTCGTGCTGTCTGTTTTCCGCTGCGAGCATGCGCGCAAGTGCTTCCGATTCCATGTGTTGTGTACCGAGTTGTGAGGCCGTAGACCTTTCATCACGACATTCCAGTTCCATGTGTGTTAGCTGTCTCTGCAAACTGATTACCGTCCGTTGTTCAGAAGTTGCGGTTTGCTCCAAAACACAAGTCTCGCTGTGCAGCTGTCCGACAAGTGCAGCTATGGATTCCCTGATGAACGAGATCTGCTGTCTGTGATTGGCGTCTGCCGTCGCTTCGAGAATGTTGATGTAGGCCGTGGCTTCGCGAAACATGTTGTCCAACACGAGCTGATGCCTGCGTTCTGCGCGAAGCTCAAGAGCGGCCTGTACCCTTGGATCATTGACGAAAACGTTCACCTGCCGGTTTTTCTGGAGTAAGTGTGAAAAGTACTGGTTGGCTGCGGCTTCATTCCTGTGACTGCCAGTATCCCCTGCTGCTGATTGGAACGGTACAATGTCCATTGCTGAGAGCAACCTGCGGCTGATAAACTGAAGTTTCACAGGTTACAGCCTGCTAAGCACGCTAATATGACCGGTAAGTCAACCCTTGAGTCCTTTTTACTCTGCGGACTTGAGCCCGTAGTGCGTCGCGTAAGACAAATACTAAGGACATCAACAGTATATGTGGAGGCAGGGAAAAATCTACACTAAGTCACTACCTGCAGAAACTCCCGCCCCCTCCCGCTCTGTGACGCTGTAAAGAAACAGCAGCACAATTCCTCGGCCCTCTTAACTTGGCCTCGATGAGGCGGACGACGCGAAGAGTTTACAATTGGGCATGATTGTCCAGTGTAGCATGATGGAGTCAGTTGGATAAATCTATCGCTGCTGCGGCTTGCTGTCCAAAACTGCTTGCCAAGCTGCATGAATTGGGGGAACTCCGTGCTGAACTGTACCTGCATTTCAATGACAGGCCGACTCAAGCTGCACAGTAGTATCGACATAAAGACATCTAAGGTGGAGAGCACACCCGGTCTGCTGGAGATAGGTCCGACCAAAAATCTCGTACGGCATCCCGCTCTGAAGAGCCTCCCTGCGGAAAGCCCGCACATGCACAAGACAATACAGGTGTCCTAGCTCCGGTCCTGCACTTTTTGCATCAAGCTTCTCAGCTGTGATTTGTACTCCTCAGAAGGTGCCTGGCACTGCGGCGCGGTTTTCCTCAAAGCTCGGATTGGACCGGAGATGTGCCGGCGCGAACCTTCGGAGGCGGTCCTGGAGGTACTGCTTGGCACTGCTTGGACAAAGGCAAAAGGAGCGACAAGGACGTTCGTCACTGTCCTTGTGGGATGCTCTTGTACGCGGCTGCTTTCTTCGCTTTGGCCGCCGGGCGTTTCCGCATGCGAAGATTTCGTTCGTTTCCCCGGTACCTTGAATGCCGCGGCGGCAACAACAGGGCCACACAGCATCGCCAGAGCCAGTGCGCACTTGCTGGGGTCCACCTTTAAAGCTTCCGGTACGTCCAGCAACGGCGGGCTTCGCCACTGCATGAGCCGCACGGCTCTCGCTGCCGCCCCGATGGTGAGAAGTAGAGTGCTGGCGGCACGCGACGAAAGCGACGGCTCAGCACATAACCTGTTCCGGGCCCGGACCTTCCGCAGGCGTCCGGGAGGTTCTCCGGTGGCTCTTGTGGATTCGCCACACCGACGGCCGGGCCTAGGAAGCCGCAATGGCTCTCGACAACACTGGGAATGCTCCGAGATGTCCGAGACGCTTCCGCCAGAGCTGCGGCCCTTCCGCCTCACAGTCCGACACTCTGATCACCCCGCAAGCATGTTAACACTTTTGTACGGCACCTGCTTCGAAGCACCACGCTGCAAAGGCGACGCTGTTGCCAAGAACCTTCCGCTTCCTCGAGAAGGACCTCTGCACAGCGAACAGCACAAGAGCACGAGCCTGAGGAGCGAGCAGCATGCAGCAGGGCGCAGCCTCCTGGATGCTGGTCCAGGAACGCGTTTTGCTCCAGTGAGGGATCAAGGGAACCTCAAGCTCGGCCACAGGCGCTGCCGCACTGCGCCGCGCTTCAAGCCGAGGTCCTGGCGGTCCTGGCCGTTCCTTCTGCTGTGGCTTCCGCCTCTGAAGGATTCGCCTCAGCAAACTCCTGCAGGGCAGCTACAGTCGGCTGCGCTCGGGAAGCTGATTTTTGAAGGGCTGCTCCGGCGGCTTCCTCGATGTCACTGGCATCCATGTCGGTGAGCCCTTTGCCGAGGCCCTTGACGCAAAGAAAAATTGAAGCTAGACGCTTAGAGAACTACACGCTCGAGGTCCTCCGAGCGGCTGATATGCCGCTTCGAGGATAATTCGATATTGCCTTTGACCTGATAAGGCTCAGGCCCCGCGGAGCACGCGGCCAAAGGAGCTGTGCTGCGCTGCTGCAAAGCGACAAGATTCAAGTCTACCTCCAGCTCGTAGAGCTCAGACCAGCCCACTTTCGGTCCCGGCCACCTCACGTAGAAGGATGCAGAGGGAGGCTCCGACAGCTGGGACTGTGCCTCTCCGCTGAGCGGTGCAAGGGCTGCCGAGCTTTGCGAAATGGCGGCACCCACTGAAGCACCTCTGCAACAGTAGCATGGCACACGGCACAGGAGCTCAGGATATGCAGAGCACAGGAGCGACACGGGCGACACGTCGTTCGCACCGGTGCCCAAATGCCTTGGGCTCCGCGGAGCTCGCGACCGGAGGCCTCTCGGCCTCGGCGCCATCGCCACCATCGCCCTCTTTACTTTTTGGAGCGATGGGAGCCTGAATGCATTGCAAGAAGACATGGGAGAGGCTGCAGCACGATAGAGCCTCCCCGATTTCTGCATCCTCGTCTTGACTTTCTGTCTCACTCTCCTTTGGTTGTGAGGGGCATGTGGTTTTGCTTGGTTCTACCGTGGTCCCAAGCACCGTGCCTCGTTCTCTGATTCTGACGACTCCGAACCTGAAGGCTTTCACGAAACGGCCTTTTGCGATCGCAGTGGAATCCATGCCCAGACCTTCCTGGGCAGCTCCCGCAGCTCCCGCGGCAGCGGCAGAAGTGCCCTGCACAGCGAGAGGTGCCGCAAGGGCAGCTCCTGGGACGACTGCCGCAAGCACCTGTCACCAGCCCGCGTTCTGCTTACCGTCCTGCCTTAACTCGGCTCCCCAAGTCAGGGCTATGACTGTAGATGGCCTGCGCTGCATCTTCTGGCTCGCTCTCATCTTCTCCCTCCTGCTCTTCCTCCTCTTCCTCCTCCTCCTCCTCCTCGTCTTCCGCCTCCTGTACGAAGATCTTGATGTCAAGTTAGTCAGTCAAGTTGATATGGTTTGCAAACAGCCACTACGCCTGACAGCTGCTACTGCGTTGCATGCCTAGCCTCAGACGAATCAGAGATGGGCAAAGCTCCTGGCAAGACCATGGGCCAGGCTTTCGGTACAAAACGTCTGAAAGCACAAGCGCCGCAAGATCTTCATGTGCTCAATGTCCTTCCGCCTGCGCGTGCCCTGCATGCCTCGGGAATGCACGGCGCTGCGAGAAATCTCGGCAGACCCGAATCTGAGCGGCTCGGCGGGATGCCGCTTGCAAGGGCCCATGCCTCAAAGACAGCACAATGTGACCAGTGGGCCAGGATAAGCCAGGCCTGGCCTGGGGGGCCATCATGCCTGGAACAGACCAAACCGCCCCCAACGGGGCACCAGCCTGGGCACCAAAGCGTCCTCCCAATCTCTCGTCACCTCGCCTTCACGAGCTGTTGGCCAGCTGGGCACTCCATGGATGGTAGGACCCTGCTCGCCACACCTGCCACGCCTCAGCTAGAAAGGGTGAAGTTTGGACTTTACCACGTGATTGGGTCGGGGGTTGAGGGGATGGGGAGAGGTCTGGAAGCCCTGAGCTCCAGGGCGGACAGCTCTCTTGACAACTCCGTGAATCTACCCGAAAATCAAAAGCGGCTTAACTTCCTGCATCGCCCCACGGATCCGGGAAAATTTTCCCGCTCCGCATGGCTGCAGGGACCAATGCGGGCTTCGAAGCTATGAAGCTTTAGGATACCCAGGCGAAACAAAGGATTCCAGCCTGCACGGCAATCCTGCCACAAGTTACAAATTCAAATGAGCAAAAACCCTACAACATATTCAACAGCACAACGCAATATGGTAATATATATATATATGTGTATATATATATATATATAGTGTGTGTGTGTGTGTGTGATAGGATATCATATGCTAAGTATATATTGCGCGTACTTTATGATATACTGATACACAAATCTGGTTGCTGCGTCAACCGCGACCGCGCGGCGACAGCGCATTGAGGGTTTGCACCGTGTTTGGGGAAATGTTGTTTTTTTCGGCATTTTTGCGCATTTGTGTTTGGAAGTGTGCGGAGCCACTAATCAAAAGTGTCGTCTTCTCCACGAGTTTGAAGACCAATATGTAGAAAACACTGGCTGGCGGCCGTTTTTTTGTGTTTTGTCCTGTTGTTGTTATGTGGTGGTGGCGGTGGTGGTGGTGGTGCTGGTGGTTGTGGTAGTGGTGCTGGTGGTGGTAGTGCTGGTGGTTGTGGTACTGGTGCTGGTGGTGGTGGTCGTTCGTTCTTCTTGTTGTTGTTGTTGCTGCTGCTCTTCTTCTTGTTGTTTTGAGCTTGAAGCCTTCACAGAAGTCTGTGGTTGTTGTTGTTGTTGCTGCCCTTCTTCTCGGTTGTTTTGAGCTTGAAGGCTTCACGAAAGTCTGTGGTTGTTGTTACGAGTTTCAGGGCTTCACGGGCTTCACGCAACTCTAGGAGACTTGTTTACCGCGCTTTGCTCGCTTTGTGTGCCACGGCGCAATTGCCGTTCGCAAGCTGATACGACGGTCGCAGTCTTAGCACACAAATTTTCTGCGCCAATCAAATAGCGCAGGAGGTGTTTGCATTTAGCCACACCCTGCGTTGTCGGGGCAGTCACATCCCGACTCGGCTCTGTCGTCGCGTATGCGATATCACCTCGAACCAATGCTAGCCACAACAGCTTGCCAACAGCAGTCCTGTAGACCTTGTGTTCTTCAGGACTTAGTGGCGTATCTGGGACAGTCTTGTTGATGGTCATCGTATGAGTCGTTGCCACAGGTTTGGCATCCTTCATTCCATACAGATCAAGAGTCGCATCAATGTACTTTTGTGACATGCATACATTGGCATACATCAATCGAGTCACCATTGTGTCGCAGTCGTCGTCCTGTAAACTGTGTGAACGACAAGGTCTTTGCCTCTGACACATCGGCTTCGTTCACACTGTACCCAGGGACATGAATGGGGGTGGCCACCTCTGACTCTTCCTTGGGCCCATCCAATCGAAGTTCAAGCAGGTCTGACACTGTAATGCCATCCAAGCCAAGTGGGCCCTTTGACACTTGCAGGAAATTCCGCAGCAGACTCAAATCTCTCTCCACACAACATTCCCCGTCCAAGACTGACAGGTAAAATGACACTATCTGAGGGAGTGCATCTGACAATGTCAAATGACGACTGCCTTGCAGTGCAGTGCCAATCCCAAGGACCCTGGCCCAGGCAGGTCTGTTGTCGTGCTGTTTCGCTGCTGTTGACACTGTGCTAGGATCTGACACCAACTCTGACATGACTCCTTCGAACTGCTGAAAAGCATCTGACCTGCTGACATTGACAGCTCTTGACCTGAATCTGGAATCCAGCGCATCAAGAAACTCATGACTGTAAGCTAAGACTACTTAATTTAATAAGTTAATTAATCATCAAAGTTTTGGATGACACAAAAACCAGACTAAGCCGATCCAAGGTACAGCTTTTTCAAGCGAATGCGAGCCATCTGCAGAAGTTGCTGCCACGTCTCTGACTCTCCACGATCCAAAGCTCGCTTGGCTTTGTCCCATGACACTAAGTCGAAGACTGTAAACACCATGTGCAGGTCACCAGTGTGGTGGTCGGCATTGACTCTGGCAACGCAGGCATCAGTGGCAGCGGAAACCCGACTGCATGACATCTTGATGAGAGTGTAGGTTGGAGTTTCTGCTCAAAGTGTTTGGTTCCTGCATGTTCCTGGCAAGTAGTTTAAAAGATGCTTCACCTTAGCTTCGTGTTCAGTCGTAGGGGCGGAAAGTCCTCGACTCAGCTCCTTGACAGCATACATGATGTCAGGGCGCGCGCTGGAAAGCCACAAAAGTTGGCCCACAGCGCGCCGGTAGCGCTTGTGATCCTCAGGATTCAAAGGTTCACAGTCGAGCTGCTTCCTCAAAGCATCCGTTCCTGGCGCAAGTGCCTGTCGACACTGATTCAAACCGTAAAGCTCTAGCATTGTGTCAATGTAGGATGGGCTCATTCCTACAGAGATAAAAGCGGACTTTCGCTTCAGGTTGCGGCCTAGAAACGACGAACTCTGGCCTTCATTCAAAGTACGTATCACCTTAAGCAACAAATCCTTCTGAAGATCCGGATCAAAGCCGAAACATCAGCCTGCGAACCAAAGAACATCAAGTCGTCCACATAAGCCAGGACGTAAAGTTGCTTACTGTCATGCACGTAAAGGTTCGGATCCGACTTCATGCGTCCAAAGCCGTTCTTCTCCATGACAGATGCAAAGTGTTGCTGCCAAAGCTTTGGGCTGTGCTTGAGGCCGTAAAGAGCTTTCTTAAGCTTCCACAAAGTACGGCCCTCAGGGTAAAACTCAAGAGGGGGAATGACATACAAGTCACCATCGACCAGGGCATGAGGGAATGCCGTCGAAATATCTCCGATCGATATGTGCCATCCCTTCGCTACAGCCAAAGTCAAAAGCAACCGAAGCGTAGTTAAGGACGGGGTTGAGGCGAAAGTCTCATCCTTGTCTTCTACAAGTTGAGTGTAGACCCAATCCTACAGCGCACCGAGCCGTCGGGCTTGCGCACTTTAACCCACTTCGTGGTAATTGCAGACTGCAAAGTCCCCTCAGAGACCGACTCAACGGAGACCTCGTCAAACACGTCAAAGTCCCGCATCGACTTCATCTCCTTAGTCATGCCTGCAGCTTCCTCTTCACGCGTGAACTCTGTCTGGTACCAAATGTGCGGATTCTCAGTCAAGTGTCTTCATCAACAAAAGTTCTTTCTCATCTTGATTCACCGACACAGGCACCTCCAAGTCCTGCTTGGTTGTCACAGCAGAGACACGAAAGTCACACACGGGAAAACGCTTCTTGGTTTGCGCAAAAGTAACGCTGGCCATTCTCTGCACCTTGCTGGTACCAACAGGCAAAGTCTCCGAAGTGCGTTTGGTCGGAGAAGAAGCAGACGCCTCCTCAAGTCGAGGCCTTGTGGCCGCAGGTTGCGGCAAAGCTGCTTCAGTTGAGGACCGAGGTTGGCCCTGCGTCTGTTGGTTCAAAGTGACATTCGGCGGCTCAAAGGTATCATCAATGTCAGGTGGAGTGGCCAAAGACTCCAAGTCCGACAAGTCTTCCCTTGGCGGGATCGCCTCTGGCTCAAAGCCGCTCAAGTCGTCACCAAGCAAGCCTTCAACTTCTAGCAAGTCTCCAAGTGCAAGTGGCTCAAGTTCGAAGGGTCTACTGCTGTCGCCTCCTCGGACCGCTTGGCTTGAGGAAAGACAAAAGTGTCCGTCTCAGCTTTCGAAGGTCCCATGGATGCGCAGAGATCGACTGCGGCGGTGCAAGGTCGGCCTGCCGGGAGGGCGGGTGGCGTTTGACACTGCGGGTCTTAAAGACACCGGTAGCGTCAGCAACAAAGTGCTGATCAGACTCTGTGTCTTTGCCAAGCCAAACTCCAGGCACGAAAGCTGCACGACCCTTCTGCGGATGCGGCTTGCGGCTCGCGGAAAAGCACCGTCTCACCAAAGCGACAGATAAAGCAGGCATAATTCTTATGCCTTGCGCGCTGCAAAGGTAACGGTTCACAAGCCACTGCGCATGACGAACCAGCCAAGTACACAAAGCTGAGTGCACCGAAAGGTCAATGTCGTAGCGCTCAAGGATCTCAAGGCGCAAAGCCTTGATCTGTCCGTATAAAGTGGCCTGCATGCAACCCACGCTGCCTTGCGCCTGCTTCCAACCAACGGGCGTCTTGCGAAAAGAAAGTCCACCAACTTCACCAGTCACAGAAGTTGCAATAGCAATGAGGGCGGGTTCGGGACGCGCTTGCAATACACCGAAAGTTCTGCCCGTTTCCAGCACAAAGCGACGCAACTCCGCTTGCGAGTAAGGTGTGCGGGCCTTGGTGGGGATCACAACAGAAAGTCCCATGCCCGAAAGAACATCGACAACGTTCAAAATTGTGACCTGTTCCTCACCAGGCTTGTCGCCAAGAAAGCTCAAGTCCATCTGCAACACAGGCTGCTTCAGGGAAAGTCTGCGGCTCTTCGCCTGCTTGCTCTTGGCTCGCACACAAACTTCGCACCACGGTTTAAAAGGCAAGTGCGTCAACTCGTGCTCAAGCCGCTCCGTCAAAGCTGGCTCGCCCGGTTGCTTAAGTCCCCGCGGGCGACGTGCAAGGTAGTCTGGAGCTTCTGGATCACACTCAACAAGTTGCAAGTCTGCCTTCTGAAAGCAAGTGGCTCCGACAAAAGTGGCTCCGACAAAAGGTGAGCTGATCAAAGTAGTGCCGTGTTTGCGCCAAACGTCAGCGTGCCAAAAGGGCACTTCCTCTGTCTCGGGCCTCACAACCAAAGTCATGCGACCGTTTCCAAGCTGCTCTTCAAAGCGCGGACCTTCAGGCACAAAAAGTGTCGTCCGCTGCTCGTAGTGAACACGCACCAGCAAGACGGAAAGTCAGGCCACAAGTCGTGCGTGTAAGGCTGGCCTGTTGCCGGGTCCTTCTCTGAAAGTTGCTCAAGCAAAGCCTTCCGAAAGTCGTCAAGCGTTCCGGAAGAAGTCTGCTCAAGGCGCAGACGAAAAGTGTCCTCGGTGCTTTGCTCCTCGAGGCCTTTAGTGGGCTGCTTGAAAAGTGGTTGTGGGGCCTCTGCTAAAGGTTCCTGCTGTTGCTGAAGTGGTTGTGAGACTGGTTTGCTTGCAGGAGTGGGTTGCGGTAAAGTTGCTTGTTTTCCAACTAGCTTACGGCCAGTGGGTTTGGAGGAAAGGTCAACAACAGTCTTGCCTACAAAGCGTTCGGAAGCCGGGCCCTTAGGGTTAGCTGCCTTACGCCAGTTGTCGGTGAAAGTCTCTTTTCTGCCATCTGCGTACTCAAAGTAGGTTACGCGTTCGTCTGAAAGGTCCTTCAAGTCTACAGGGCGATCCTTAGTCCCTCCGGGAGAAAAGAAAGTAGCTCTTGCTCTTTTGTGTACGCGGGTCAAAGTGTTACCCGATAGCTCCCATTTGTCAATGTGATACTGAACCAAAGCTTTGAAAACAGGGGCCACAAGGTCAATGTGATACTGAACCAAAGATTTGAAAACAGGGGCCACTATGGTACCTTGTGCGCTCTGTGTGTGAAACGTGTTACACACTACCTCAAACTCTTCCCGGTTGAAAGGTGCCAAAGTGGGCATCAAGAAAAGAAGTGAACCATGCCTAGTGATGGGCACCTTGTGTCCATCTGGTGTTTCCAATGTGTTCGGCTTCTTAGAAGAAAGGTTCACGTCAAAGCCTGACCTCAAAAGTCTGCCAACAAACACTACACAGTATGGAACGTCGCAAATGTAGAAGTGTCAGAAACAGGGCTGGCCCTCAAAGTCAACCTTCACAAGTCTACGTCCAAAGACCGTCAAAAGGCTGACCTGAAATGCTCCTCAGAGGTGGAGCCTTACCTGTGAATGGCTAAAGCGGCCACTCAGAGGCAAAGTCCTTCGGGCAAAAGTGAGTTGCAGCGCCTGAATCAAGGAGGATCCAAGGTTCCGTTGCCCTCCAAAGTAGAAATCAAATGCTCCTCCAAAGCAACATCCTGGAAAGTCGTATTCAAATTCTTAAGACCAAGATCACCAACACTGAAAAGTCGTTGTGCGACCATTCAAGGAGAAAGTCTCAAGCAGGGCCATACAGGCCGTAGGCTCAAAGTTCTCACACTCACCGAAACCACCAAAGCTGAAGTCTACAACTCCGTTCGTCATCCCATCAACTCTGAAAGTGTTCCCCAAACCAAAGTTGCCGAGAACAACAGCCGACATGAGCAAAGTGCTCGGGCTGATGCTTGCCTTAGCTTTCGGTCTGGCTTTGGGGGTTGAAAGTCCAGGCGGTCCTTACACAGTCGCAGCCGACACGGGCACAGTTGCCGCGCCGCTTGACGAGGAAGCCTCTTCCTTAGGCTTCGCCAAAGTTTCAGCGGCCAAACTTCTGAAGTAAAGTCCGAAGACCAAGCCCAAGGGTCAACCGAAGAATCCCAGGACGAAGTGTCCCAAGACCAAAGTCGTTGATCATCCCATGACTGATCCCAACTGCTAGGGTCGTTGTAAAGTTCGGTTACCGCGTTGATCGCCCAGGCCGTCCAATCGGACCAATCGTCTTCACCAAAGTGAGACCAATCTCCTGTGGCCTGTGTCCTCCGACGGGTAAAGTTCTTCACCTTCAACAGCTGAAGCACGGTAGTTCGGGCAGTTGCTCGAAAAGTGTCCTGTCTTACCACACGTCCAGCAAACCGAAGTAGAGCTAGAAGTTGGCTTTCCTTTTCCTTTTCCTTTCATCGTAAAGTTCCAATGTTGTCCTCCTTTTCCTAACGACTTCGAAAAGTCCTTTCCTTTTCCTTTCCTTCCTTTTCCTTTACCTTTCCAAAAAGCTGCTGCTAAAGCACCAATGTCCATGGGAGCCGAAGCTCCACCTGCAAAAGTTGCATTCGCCGAAGTTTGTGCAACTGGGTTCATCAAAAGTCGTGATCTATGATACTCAAGGATGACCTCACGCACTTGTGCATAAGTCGCCAAAGTTTGGGCATTCAGCCGGTAAAGGTTGTCCTGCTTGCCGTTCAAACCTAGACTTGATCGTTTCCCACACGTTAAAGTCTTGCTCGAAGGTTGCTGGCTTGAACTTAAAGTCCAACAGCTGCGTCAAAAGTGACGTGCTCCGCGTGGCTCCTGGCAGCGAGAACTTCTTGTAAAGTCTTCTCCATGTCTCGAAACCGTTGCTGTCCTCATTCTGCCGAACAACAAGTGTTGCCGAATCTCTCTCAAGTTGCGAAATCAAGTAATGTAGTTTTCGGGAGAAAAAGTACTCGGCTGGCGGTCTGGTCCGGATCTACATCACCTGTGTCCAAAGTGACCGTTAGATCAGCATCCGTAAAGTCACCTTGCGCAGCCGTGCGCATTTCGGCATTGTCCATCAAAGTCACAGCACCCACCGAAATGCACGCTTTAACGTTGCATGACCATTCTTCCCAGTCTGCTGGGTTTCCTGAGAAGGTCTCTGGCAGAGGAAGCCGAAGCTTTCCTGTACAGTTGTCTTCACCTCCCAGCGCCATGTTGTTCTACCAAAGTTCCTTGGAGCTTTCAGCTCCGCTACCATGCGAAAGTACACCAGTATAGAATGAGCACCAAACTACCCTAAAGTAATTCCGTGCACAAGCTCACACGACTGAGACCAAAGTAGCCCTGAAGTTCAGAAGCGCCTTTTAGCTGCGAAGGCAAAGTGGTCTTGAGCCAAAGAAGGTTGGCAAAGTCTGAAGGAGGGGGGAGCACGTGTTATTTTCACACATACACACACATACATACATTTTTGTCACTCGTGCTCGACAAGTCAAACCTCTACATACATGCACATACACATACACGCACGTACAGGTATACATGTACATTTACATATACATACGTATGCACATCTGCGTATACGTATATGCTACACAGATATGATATGACATGACAGGGTGTGAGATGCCATAAGATGTACAATATAGAATTATTCTCTGTAGTGCAAAGAAATGTGATAAGCGCACGCTCACAACTCGAAGCAACATACTTTTCACCCGACATGCTTAGTCCCTCGACCCGTGGAGGTCAATCCCTATTGAACTTTGGGGTAGATTGAGGGAGCGGTCTTGTCAAGAGACGTGCGGAAACTGGCTGATTGGACAGTGTACTCTTGGCTTTTTTTGCACGCTGCCCTCGGCTCCATTCCACCGCACTCCCCAAATGCCCCCCAACCCGCCGAGACCGAAAACAGAATGGGAGAGAACACCAACAAAGGAAAAACAAGTATCCCTCCCAGCCAGAAATGAGTCTGAGCCGGAGGAACTTCGAAACCCCTAGGTTTCACATAAGGAGACGGCTTCGGGCACGGCCGCATCGCACCTGAGATGCGAGACTCTGATGTGTCGGGAACTTTGAGTACACGGGCCTTCTTTTTCGAGACGGTGAGCGGGCTGAGCGGTGTTCTCGCCTGCAGCTGCGAGGTTCCGATTCACGAGGGTCACGAGACGGAGAGGACCGCCTGCGGCCATCCGCTCTGACATCCTGGCGTTTCGGGGCGCTTCGGTGCAAGCGCCAAAATCTGCAAGGCGAATTTGCGCCGCGACAGCCTCCGCAGTCGCCTGCACCCAATCTAGCACTCTCACAGCGGCACCGCAGTCTGCAGCGTGCAGCAATCTGCAGCATGCCTGCTTCGATCGCCTGCGCCAGAGCTAAAGCTTCAGGCACAAGACCAACAATGCAACCAGCCAAAGACAAATGTGCTGCCTGAATGATTACAACCTGTCATGAGTTGAAGCATTCCAAAGAGATGGGCAACACCCAGTGCATGCCTGTGGCTTGAACCTGCGGCGTCCGTGTGATTGCAAATCTTGCTCATGGACGTCCGACAGTAACCCTCTCTCCTGCAGGATCGCGCAGGCGTGGGACCCCACGTGCACCTCTCTCGGAAGCCTGGAACTCCGGTGTTGCCTGCGCCGCAAGCGCTTGCCATCGCAGAAAACGGTGTGCTCCCCCAGCCTTTGGCAAGCTCGGGCTCCGAGCGGAGGCACGCCTTGTGACGCCGACCCTTCCACACTTTAAACGACCCTTCCTTTGCACATGAAGTCTGGTTCATGCTCGTGTGTGTGTCTGTGTGTCTGTGTGTGTGTGTGTGTGTGTGTGTGTGTGTGTGTGTGGGTGGGTGGGTGGGTGGGTGGGTGGGTGGGTGGGTGGGTGGGTGGGTGCGTGCGTGCGTGCGTGCGTGCGTGGGTGGGTGGGTGGGTGGGTGGGTGGGTGTGTGTGTGTGTGTGTGTGTATAGATGTAATGTAGATCATCTCCTGCACTGGCACGAATTCCTCATGGTGGATGACCAAACGAAGTGCTGACCAGATTGCACATTCCACGTGCTATCGTACATAATTCTGCTTCAATTTACACGCGCAGCGAGAATACCCCGGCACCCAGTAGCAACAGACACAAAAGACTACCCTCATCCTCATGCACGTCAACCCGTTGGGAGGCCACCCTTTTGCTGTTTCTGCTGTAATTAAAGTCTCGTTTCATCTTGCACGGTCCCTCAGAAGGCAATGCCTGATGCCCTTTGGGCCCGGGCTTCTCCGTGCCAGGCTGCCTGGGTGCAGGGCATGTTGCGTTCTGCACGTGGCTTCTCTACACTTCTATGTGCCCCACTTCCGCTTTTTGTCCTTCCTCAGTGACTTTCGCCTCTCCTTGCAGGGTGCTCTGTGCTGTGCCATCAGCTTATCTCCATTTTGTCTGGCCTGGGTCTGGGTGGGGGACCGGGACTTCTCCTTGCGGACCTGCGGGTACATGCAACTTCTACAGAGGCGCCAGAGCGGCTGGGGCATTTTCCGACTTTCGCTCGTGCCCCTTCTGCAGCTTGTCCTTGTTGTCCTTCTTTTTCTCCTTCTTTTGCTTGTTCGACTTCGGCTTCACCTATGCCGGTATGAAGCCATGCTTGCTACAGAGTTCTTTCTGACAGTCACGTCAGCCTCTTGAGACTCCTCCCGTCTCTGTCTTTGGCTGGACCTCCTTGCGAGAGAGAAAATACCTTCTACACACCAGCTTAACGAGAGGCTTCCCAGCCGCAAGCTGTGCCCGATGCGTGACCAGCTTCTTGCTCTGAAGTTGGTCTCCTGCGACGCGAACACAGCCTGTGGCAGCCCATCAATGTGGTAAAGCACTTGAGGCAGTCCTTCAGATCTTTGCTGCTTCGCTTGCTTCTGCAAGGATGGATATTTGCGACTGCAATCGACTGCAGCTGGTTTCCTTGTTGATGCCTTTCCCGAAAGCAAGTCTGAAGTTCTTTTCACTACGTTGCGTCAAGTTATTGTGCGGTCTCTGACATGATCTCTCCAGCTATGTAGGCGTAGTCTCGAACTAGAAAACTATTGTAATTCAGCTAATTAAGCCAAACGTAGCTAGCTCTCATTCTGAATCCAGTCCGCTTGCCCGTGGCCCCCACCTTCTCCTTGACCGCATTCACTGGCCCAAGACTTTTTTGGCCCTGTCCCAAGACCGGTCCCAGCTGTGGCCACGAAAAACGAGTCACGCCTTCGGCAAGCTCGACTTGGGCCCACCGGTTTTGCCGCCTGCGGCTGCGGCCAACGGCATCTCCTTCGTCCTGAAATGCCAGTGCTTTCTCCAGAAAAAAAAGAACTGCGACGCTTCGCCGGAGGCTCAGCCTCCGCTTTTCTCGGTCCTGGCAGTCGCACAATCCAAAGTGTAGATTCTGCCGGTGGCTCGCGTACTCAAAGGCTGCCGGAAGCATGTACGAATTCATGTATAGCCGAAATGCTACCGGAAGCGAACGGGCCCAACAGGACTGGGATAAAGTGTGGCCGAAGAGCAAATCGGGACAGATTCACTCGTGGTCACAACGCCCCCCCGACGCATGTTGAACAGGACTGGGGTCAACGAGTATACGGCCGAAACTCTGACCGAAGCGAACATGTCAAACAAGAATGGGCTTGTGGCCGAAACGGTGCTCGGTGCTACCTGGTGGACGGCCCGTCGAGTCTGCAGGCGGCCGGCAATCCGTCCAGCGAGAGCTTCAGATACTGGCGATATCTCCAATTCTATCCTGTTCTGAAAGGGCCACTCGTTGTGCCACTTGAACCTAAGCACCAGAACCACATCTTACCTCACTTGCCGCACTCGTTGTGCCACTTGACACCACCGTTTTTCTCGCACATGAGACGAAAAGCGCACGAACTAGAAATGTACCCGTTTTGCCCCACCACGGCCGCCTGCAGTCCGTGAGGCCTTCAGTCGCCAGTAGCAGTAGTGGCAATACTAGCACATAATTTCACAAGTAACCAGACCACAAACCCTAAAACCCTGCACACCCTGGCCCTACACCCTTTTTGCAACAGGGCTGGGGGACTGCCACATCCTTGCATCACGGCCTGTCGCGTTCATCTAACAGCTCTTCCGGAGGGGGGTCGAAGACGGGTGCAACCCCCCGCATGTTCCGAGCGACCTAAAGCCACCAGAAACAAACCAAATGGAAGAGTCCGTGAAGCCCATCTTCGCGAACACACGGCTGCAGCACTACACAACCTACACCAACCAACAACGTCGTGATCAGAATGGCCAAACAAAAAGTCCAAGTCCCGAGTGAAGAGATGCAAAGAAGAGCGTCGCCAGAAGTGCAGATGCGAAGTGCATCATATCAACCATCGGGCAAAATTCACACGGTCTGGTAAGTAGGGCGAACGACAAGAGACCTCGACCAGGTAGGCTCACGTAGTGGGGGAGACGAACAGTTCAGCTCGCGTGGACAGGGAAGATCCTGCATTCGTGGTGCCCTGCACTCCGAGGGCTTCCCAGCCTGCCTCCAGGAGGCAGCAGTAGCTGCAAGAAGCACCGCGCGGGCGAGCAGATGGGCTTTGCTCCCATGGCCATGAAAAAAAGAGAAGAACGAACAAAAAGTTTGACCGAGAAACCGTGGCAGAAGGCCCGGACGTGGAGAAAGGCTTGCTGAAAGCCAACTCCAAGGCCTTCGCTTTCCCGGGAGGTCGCCCCAAGTGGCACACGATCCGCATGATTACTGCCACATCGCCAGCCAGATTCTACATCCGGAGAATTTTGAAGGAACGGGACAAAACAAGGCTGATTGTCGAAATCAACCTTGTGAGGTAGCCCAACTAGATGGAACACATTGAAACCGCTCGGCAGAAACTGGAGAAGCACCACCTCACCAGACAAGAAACTCTGGAAGAAAGGAGCAGGCTCTGCAGCCTTGACTAAAAACTTTGCCAAAAGCCTCCAGCTTCAGATTTGCCTTTGTCAAAAATTGAAAGGGCTGCTGGGCCTTCGTGGAAACAACCTTTTGGGACCGTTGTCAAAAAAGCCACGCTGCTGTGTAGGTGCTGACTGCACCGGCCGCCTGGTGAGAAAGTATAAGGAGCCAGTTTTGTGCTGTGTTAAATTTGCAAATATTATATAGCTCAAACACCCAAGCAAGAAACTTCCCAGACACACGACAACGAACAACTTTAAAACAAAATCCAAACCCAAAAGACCTAACCCAAGCCCAAAGCCTACAGATCCCCAGCCCTTAGCCTGAATCCCCACGACGAAGGAAACCTAAACCCTACCAACCCAAAAGACCAATCCCAAACCCTAGGCTTACAGACCCTCAACCCTAAACCTGGAACCCGAAGCCCTACAGCCAGAACACTAAAGCCTAAAACTCCGACCCCTTGCCACACACACACACACACTGCGAAAGTACACTAGTACAGAATGCGCACCAAACTACCCTAAAGTAATTCCGTGCACAAGCTCACACGACTGAGACCAAAGTAACCCTGAAGTTCAGAAGCGCCTTTTCGCTGCGAGGGCAAAGTGGTCTTGAGCCAACGACGGTTGGCAAAGTCTAGGGAGAAAGGGGACGTGTTATTTTCACGCGCCTCCTCTAGACTAAAGTAAGTTAAGTACTTTATTCTCGTACAAAGTATAACACGTACAAAGCATGTACATGTGTAAGCGAACTGAGGCACAAAAGTTGTTTCGCTTCCAGCGCTGGAGAACTGCAAAGTACAACACTGCCTCCTGTCTACAGCATCAAAAGTTGCCTTTGTGAAAAGGTTCGCGGTACACGTGCTGTCGGCTCATTCAAGTGCAGCGACAAAGTTGCGTCGTGGTGCCGTGGCATGGCTGTTCCATGGAACATCAAAGTACAGCATGGGATCGGCACAGCAAAGTGCAGCGATCGGCAAGAGTAGCACCAAACGTCAAAAGACGCCGAAAAGTGTGCTGCAAAGATGGCCAACCACAGAGGCGAAAAGTGCTATCCTCAGAGGCGTGGGCGCGCCATGCGTTGCCAAAGTTGCCGAGGGATCAAGTCCCAGTCTTTGGCATTCTGGGTAATGTGCCAAAGTGAATTCAGAACTGACACATGAAAAGTCGCCAATACCAAGTGGCGGGGTGAGCGAAAAGTTCATTCAGCTTGTCGCATACAAAGTACCCATTGTCCCACGCCGGGTGTAGGATCAAAAGTCCTGTTTGCAAAGTGGAGGCCGATGCAATGTCCAAAGTGATGGACGCTTCTCGCGGCAGTGCGAAAAAGTAGTCCAAGTACCGCCTGTTCCACACAGCGTAGTTGGATATAAGTTGCATCCAAAGTTGCAGGGTCGGCCTAAAGCCAAAAGTGACCAGCTGCCCGACTTGGGCAAAAGTAGTGCCTCCAAGCTTCTTGATCGAAAGGCCAAAAGCAAACAAAAGCAATGCCGACCGAGGGCTGAAGGAAAAGTTGAGGTGCATGTTGTCACCCCAAAAGGCATCTGCACCAGAAAAGTGCAAAGCCCCTCCGTTCATCAAAGTCTGCATCTTCTGTTGAAACATAGCCAACGGCAAAGTTACCACCACCCCACCGCCTCTGGTTCAGGCCGCAGCTTGGTTGACAAGTCTGCGGTGAAGTTACACTTTCAGCTACACCTTTTGAGCAGGTTGCCTCGGCTCCACTTGTACATCGCATAGAACTGCAGAAGTGGTCCGCCGAAAGTACCGGCGGGACGCCTGGGAGCATTGCCGTAAAGAGCCATGTAAAAGTGCTCTGCATGATAAAAAGTATTTTAACTTGGGTATAAAGTCCGGGATGTTCCCTTCCCGGATAAAGTCTGGCCATCAACCTGTCCAGAGGAAGTGGCTGTTCCAAAAGTGGGCACCTCGTGCTCGGCACCCAAAGTTGCTCGGTCTGTCGACCTTCCGCCAACATACCCACAAAGGTTGCAGGATCAAAGTTGTTAACAAAGGTTGAAAAGTTGGCATCTGGACGCCAGGCTGCCAAAGTAGGCTGGCTCCCTCTTCCGCCAGTGCGAAAATGCTGTGCCCATGCATCCTCCTGTCGCGGAGTCTTTGGCGCCATCACGGCTGAGGCTCCTTGCCAAGGCGGCCGAAAGTGATCAATCGGATCAGTTTCCTCAAAAGTCTGCGGAAAAGTCCACGCAGACAGGAAGCAAAGTAGGCAAAATTCCCGTGGAAGGTGCTCGCAAAGTTGTGGGCAGCCGCAAGCACCAAAAGTGTGACGACGAACCAAAAGCCAGAAGTGGCTCCTGCTTCTTCGTCCTGATCCGCCGGTGGAGCGAGGTCGTGGGAATTTTTCAATTTTTGAATGATTTTTATGTTTTCCGTTTTCTCCGTTCCGAAAAGTAGGAAGAAACTTTTACCGTGAAACCTTAATGGTGGATGACTTTCCGATGATGGTTTTCCGGTGCAACTGCACCACTTTTAATGTACATATGTAAACTCACTTGACTTTCTCGTTCAGGGTGTTCGGATTTTGTCGTGGTTTTGGTTTTAACTTTGCGCCTTTTCGCCGCAACCGTTTTCACTTCGACTTCGGGCACTCGCTCGCTCGGCATGCCATGGTCTGTCGGTGAAAAGATGATGAGTGGCAAAGTCCAACCCAAGATGGGTGGCTAAACCTCGAACCCGAAAGTAGGAAGATGGCGGTGCAAGGTATCCTTAGCAATATACTTAGTTAGTATATCCGCCGGGCTCAAAGTCCCAAGGACCTTCTTTATTCGAACCATGCCTGAAGCAACAAGTTCCTGTACATAAAGAAAGCGAAGTTCAACATGCTTGGTTTTGCGGCTACACCAAAGCGTGAGCTATACTTTTACCAACATTACTATCGGTAAAAAATCAAAGGCTCGCTTTCTGAAAGATCTTGGACTCTTCCACCAGAGATCTCACGAAAAGTGCGTCTGCGGTCCCAGACCCAATCGCATAAAGTTCTGCCTCTCCGCTCGAGAGTGACACAGTGGCCTGGGTCCTGCTGTGCGAAAGTATATTCGCCCCGAGCACAAAGAGAGAGACTCCTGAAGTGGATCGCAAAGTGTTTGGTTCCTGCAAAGGAGTGCAAAAGATGCTTCACCTTAGCTTCGTGTTCAGTCGTAGGGGCGGAAAGTCCTCGACTCAGCTCCTTGACAGCATACATGATGTCAGGGCGCACGCTGGAAAGCCACAAAAGTTGGCCCACAGCGCGCCGGTAGTGCTTGTGAGCCTCAGGGTCCAAAGGTTCACAATGGTTCACAGTCGGGCTGCTTCCTCGGAGCCTCCGTTCCTGGCTCAAGTGCCTGCCGGCACTGTTTCAGACCGTAAAGCTCTAGCATTGTATCAATGTAGGATGGGCTCATTCCTACACAGATAAAAATGGACAAGTACCTGTCACCTTAAGCAACAAATCCTTCT